AAAAATAAATAAATAAAAATTTTCTTTTCTATTATAATTTCTAAGTTTTTTTTGGGACAGGGTCTCATTATGTAGCCCTGGCTTTCCTGGAACTCACTATGTGAGTTAAAGGCATGTGCCACATAATTTTTTTGTTTTAATACAGGGTCTCACTAAATGGTCTAAGCAAGGCCTGGATCTTGAGGTCCTCCGGGCCTCTGGAGGATTCCAGGCCTGCAGCAGCAGGCCCAGCACTACAAAGGACCTCCAGCACTATCATTGAACCAGACAGCCTGTCAGACAGAGGGAGCTCCTCCAGCCTGCCCAAGGCCACTATTAATTAACAGAAGGCACCAAACCTTCCATTTCATTCTTCCTGCTTCTGTGTTACCTGAGAGTTTGTGGATTCTAATTGCATTAAGTGGATTTGAAATTCCAGCCACAGAGCACTGATAGCTGTTAGGGTTTAAAAAAAATCTAAGTGGCTAAAAGCCACTTTAGTCTGAAGTTTCCTCCTATGCAAAGATGCAAGATTTAATTATAGCCCGGAGCTGCTGCACACCACAGGTCCCACAAACAACCTTAAAAACAAAAAACAAACAAACAAAAAAACCAAAAATGGCGTTCTGTTTAGTTTTTGGTTTCTAGTTTTTTAGAGGATTAAGGAATCCACATTCATGGAGAAAATTCAAACAGAATAGACAAGCAGAGGGCAAGGAAAACAACACCTCCCACCCCATCCCCACCCCTGCCTAAACCACGTTCTGCCACTCTGTACCCATGTATAAAGTGCTAGCGTTTCTAACACAAAGTGCCAGGCCTGGCTTTGGGAGAGGAGGTGGGGAGGGAAACCACCCTTTTATGGAGTCTTGGGTTCTAAAGAATACACAACAAACTGGGGACATGAAAATCACCAAGAAATGAAGTCCTTAAGGCCACTCTCCCTGTGTCCCCCTTTAGTTCTTGGAAGCCTTGCCCCTCATTCAGTTGGGCGACTTAGACAACCTGTAAGATGTGATTGAGGCATCTGGAAAACATTGGTGGTCCTGCAAGCTTGCTCAAAATCTCATTTAAAAACTAAAGCGGGACAACCACCCAAATGTTTTAGGGTCTGTATTTTAACCCAGTTCACTGAAGGCTATCACAAGGACTCGAACTTGGCTTGGGTATACCACACACATTTTTTGAGCTGAGGGGAAATGTTTATGATGGCTCCACTTAGGTCAGGAGCCTAGCTAACCTCCCAAGACTTCCTTTGCTGAGTCACCAGCTTCTCCAGACTTAACACGTGCCACCTACTCTTAAGTCACCTGCTCTCCGTTAGCTATAGGTAACCCCTCTGCCCGAGGGTTACCATGGTAACACAATAGCGTTTGCTCCAATCATCTTTCCCCACACCTTAGTCTATAACTACCCCTAAACATTGCACTGGGGCAGGGAGGTGAGACTAGCTCTCCTGTCTCCACAAGCCTGGAGGCTCATGAATAAAGTCGTTGTTCTGACACAACTGATTTTGGTGATTGGCATGTGGTGGAAGCTGGAGAGCCTTACTTAGTACCAGTTTATGTCATTGTTCTACATCCAGGAAGGATCTGAATTTAGACCATCACTGAAAAGAAAACACTGTTGGGGTCTGTGCTGTATTTTACAAAAAGTACAGGCCTCTTTCTACAGTAGTTTATCACCCGGACAAACAGAATGCTACTTACTGAGTCAGAATACACACAGTCCTCCGCTGGAAATGGTTTGTTGTGATTCCCCGAGTCCTGATGGGGCAAAATTCAGATGCGTTTGATAGAAGTCAGGACTTCATCAAATTTTACATGCTGCTCAATTGTCTCATGACGCTAGGAGGCAGCTGGGAGTACCCATCGCCACCCTGTGACTCCAGACAGAACAATCGTGATTGCGGGCTGTGGTCTACAAGTTAGGTGTGTTTGATTTAGGATATGTTGTGTGTATGTACATGCTTGTTCGTGTGAGTGTGGGCACGGGTACACCCATGATGCACACGTGCATGTCAGAGGACAACCTCAGATGACGGTCCTCATCTATAGTCCTGAGGCAGGGTCTGTCTGCTGCTGCCTATGCCAGGTTACACACCACAGACTTCTGGGGAGCTCATGTTTCTGCCTCCCATCTCACTGTAAGGAGCACAGCAGATTACTGGTTGTGGTGGTTTGAATAGGAATGCTTGGCCCATAGGGAGTGGCACTATTAGATGTGGCCTTCTTGGAGTGGGTGTGGCCTTGTTGGAGGAAGTGTATCACCATGGAGGTGGCTGTGAGGTCTTATATATGCTTAAGCCACAGCCAGTGTGGCAATTCACTTCCTGTTGCCTGCAGATCAAGATGTAGAACTCTCAGCTCCTTCTTCAGCACATGTCTGCTTCCTGCCATGACGACATTGAACTAAACCTCTGAAACTGTGAGTCAGCCCCAATTAAGCGCTTTCCATTATAAGAGTTGCCATGGACATGGTGTCTCTTCACAACAATAGAAACCCAAACTAAGACACTTGCACTATTGTGTATCCAGCTTTCACATGGTATCTTAGTCAGTGTTCTATACCATGACCATGTCAATTCTTATAAAGGAAAGCATTTAACTGGGGCTGGTTTACAGTTGAGAGGTTTGGTCCATTTGTCATCATGGCAGGCACACATGGTGCCGGAAAAGTAGCTGAGAGCTACATCCAGATCCGAAGGCAGCAGGAGGAGCGAGGGACACTGCTGTCCCTCTAGTTAGACCTAATTAGAGTTTTTGAAACCTTGAAGGCCACCCCAGTGACACACTTCTTCCAACAAGGCCACACCTCCTAATCCCCCTCAAGTAGTGCCATTCTCTGATGACCAAGCAAATATATGAGCCTATGGGGGCTAGTCTTTTGTCATTGTTGTTTTTCGAGACAGGGTTTTTCTGTGTAGCCCTCTGTAGACCAGGCTGGCCTTGAATTCAGAGATCTACTTGCGTCTGCCTCCCTAGTACTAGAGCTAATGGTGTGCACTACCACCACCTGGCATAGGGGCTATTCTTATTCAAACCACCATACATGGGTTCCAGAGATTTGAACTCAGGACTTCATGTTTATTTTTTTTTTATTTTATTATTATTATTTTATTTATTATTATTATTATTATTATTATTTTAGTTTTTTTTGAGACAAGGTTTTTCTGTGGCTTTGGAGGCTGTCCTGGAACTAGCTCTTGTAAACCAGACTGGTCTCAAACTCACAGAGATCCTCCTGCCTCTGCCTCCTGAGTGCTGGGATTAAAGGCATGCGCCACCAATGCCCAGCAGCTTAAGGTATTCTTTTTCTTTTTTTTCTTTTAAGATTTTATTTATTTATTATGTATACAACATTCTGCTTCCATGTATATCTGCACACCAGACGAAGGCACCAGATCTCATAATGGATGGTTATGAGCCACCATGTGGTTGCTGGGAATTGAACTCAGGTCCTGTGGAAGAGCAGTCAGTGCTCTTAACCTCTGAGCCATCTTGCCAGCCCAGCTTAAGGTATTCTTAAAAATCAGAATATAGCCTTGTAAGTTGAGTCTGTAGGTACAGATTTAAAATGTGAATTCTAAATCCAAACAGCCTTGGGTTTGAATGGTTTTCTACATGGCCTTGGGGAAATGAGTCAGTTTCTCTCATCTGTAAAATGCAGGTAATAGGGCTGAGGAGATGGCTCAGTTAGGAAAGTGTTTGCCATAAAACGTGAGTTCAATCCCCAGGACCTACACTGGGGGTGGGGGCTTGGGGGACTAGGGATGGTGGTACACACCTATAACCTAGTGCCGGGGAGACGGGAAAATCCCTGTAGCTTGCTGGCCAGCAAGTGCAGCCTAATCTGTGAGCTCCAGATTCGGGGAGATATCCTGTCTCAAAAAATAAAGTGATAAAAAGAGACACCTGCAATGACCTCCAGCCCCAACATACATGTACTCATACACATGTGCACCATAGGCACATAGACACACACAAAATGTGGACAACAATATAGTGTGCTGACTGGCTGAGCTTGGAGTTACACTTCTGTTTCCTGGACTTACCTTTGTGGCCAGGGAGGACAGATGGGCCCTTTAAGAAGTGAGGCACGCCAGACGTTGGTGGCGCATGCCTTTAATCCCAGTACCCCAGATGCAGAGACAGGCAGATCTCTTGTGAGTTAGAGGCCAGCCTGGTCTACAGAGCGAGTTCTAGGACAGGCTCCAAAGCTACAGAGAAACCCTGTCTCAAAAAACAAAACAAAAAGAAGTGAGGCATTTGGAATATCTCTACAAGGGATGCAGTTCTGAGAGTGAGGTGGGCCATTTTCTGGGGTCTCAGAGTGCTAGGCAGACCAGAGTCTGCATGAGAATGAAAGCAAAGTTCTGGCTTGCAGCCTTCAGAGACAGGCTGCTTCCTGCAGACTGGTCCTACGAGACTCAAACTCCAGTGATCCTGCATCTTAAGGGTTGGGTAACTGAATTAATGCATTAGTCAGTCAACTGGCACTATCGAACCCAAGGCATCATCTACACTAAGCAGACTTTCCCACTTTAGCTTGGTCTGCACCACTTCAAAATGAGTTAATAGTTTCATGTGAACTACAAAGCTGCACTTAACTGAATCAGATTGGCCTAAGGGACCAACAAGTACAATTTTCTGCATTTTCCCCATTGGTCCTTCTGCTTCTCTTTGCTTTGCTTTTTGAGGCAGGGTCTCACTCTATAGCCTGGCTGGCCTGGAACCAGCTACCCAGACCAGGATCTCCCTGATCCTCCTGTCCCGAGTACTGGGGTAGACTACAGCACCACTACGCCTGGTTCATGTTTTTGAGATAGGATCTCTCTTTGTGACCAAGATTGGCTTCAAACTCATGATCTCCCTGCCTCAGTCTCCTGAGTGCTGGGATTATGGTGAGCTACATGTCTTGTGCATGAAGTTCACAGCTGATGAGCAACTGGATTCCAGTTTAGTTTAGTCTAGTTTCACACCAAAGGTCAGGGTCTCAACAAATTAATGCAGCCAGCAGACCAGAGTTTGCTATTTGACTTTACTCTATAAAAATACACAACTTAAATACATATGACACTCTGTATACAAGACATAAACAACTGGTAGATTTTACACTTTCAGTCATTTCAACAGAAAGCAAATATGTAAATTACCTTGTAAGAGCATTCACAGTCAAGGGAAAGAATGTGCACAGCATAATCAGTGCAGGGAGCTAACCCAAACTGCCCAACTTTACAGTAACAGTCCTCCCACCAAGAGCCTTTACCAGACAGCCGGGCACCACACTGTGTGATAGACACAACCACTGCCCACCTGCACCACAAGTGAACACATCCATCCTCCCCAGAGACAGCTAATGGTACCATCAGCTAATGTCCTAGGGGCACTAACCATGTCTACAGCTGTGTTCAGCACCAGGATGAGCAGGGTGAGCAGCTCCTTGCTTGTGAAGCCCACAGTGGAAATTGCTCAGCTTGATTATGCAACTAAATTCATTTTCAAAAGTTCTCTAAAAATGCTGAGGGACTTAGCTTCATGGGCTGCAGTGTGAGAAAAATGCCATTCCAGACCTGGAATAGGACACTGTCACTGCCAAAGGCAATCCCTTCATCTTACTGGTGACAGATGCCACTCTGGTTGGAATAGCCACTTGTCCCTGATTCAGTGCTGGCAGGCACTCCTTGTTTTACTCCAATGAGCTTTCAGCCATCTAGCCGCCCGACTTATGGCTCACTAACCATCTAGCTGCCTGACCTATGGCTCACTGAACTAAGACAGAATTAGGTACCAGTGTGTAGGTGTAAAGAAGTATTTATCACTTGAGATTTCAATTGGTGAGAACATACTAGAATAAGTTTCCTGAGGTAAATATAAGCCTTAAAGAATGGTGAACAGTTTATAGAATGACAGCCATTTTATCCTAGACATCTGGACTCTTAAGTTACCAGGCTGATAAAACCACGGGCACATTTAAATGGGGAAATAAAGTGGCAGTGCTTAAGTAAGAGACGCTGACATCGGAGAACAGCCATTCATAGAGAGGCACAGGAGGAGAGGACAGTCTCTAACACAAAAGGGGGATATGCTTTAAAGTGCTTGAGATGGCTGGAAGAGTTACTCTGAAATGCCTCCAGGGATTTCCAACAAGTTGAAGAAGTGACAAACTTGTTGATGACTCAGATGTAGAAGACAAGGCTTTTCTTTAATTCCTTTTTTTGGGGAAACAAGGTCCTTTATAAATTTTTAGCCACTGAAATAACTTGAGTTGTGACTCCTGCTGATGTTCTGAGATCTTAACTGGGTGAAGGGTTTTAAAGAGCATCAAGGATGAAGCACACACCTGTGCTGAGAAGTTCAGTGAACTTGGAGGGCTGTAAGGGGTTTCAAGAAGATAAGGTTCATTTTGATGCAGGCTCTGATGGTTCTAAAGCCCTGCTTAGATGGGCTTATGGAAATTAGAAAAACCCTGGGGTCCTGAAGCTCAACCTTTCCAACTCATCACTATTACACACATGAAGTAGTACAGCCACCCTAAATGCTAACGAGTAAGGTCTTAGAAACAGAGTCTTAGCCCCTCTAAGGGATCCGAATGGGGACACTGGAGTGCCCTGCTATGACTTCATCTGCCCATGCTGCTGAATAAGGTGTCTTTAACAACCATGGCGAAGACTGGGCCCCACACTCGGGCTGACAGCACCAAAAACAACCCCTCATCCACAGGACTCCCACCTTCTGTTCAAAGAGCAGTTGGATAGTGGGGTACGTTAGGCATGAGAGAAGCCTCAAACAGAACTGAGGCCCACAAGAAGCTGGAGTGGAATTCTCTCATCCGAGAAGCTAGCTCAAGAACCAGAGGAAATCATCAGGCCACATATCAGATCTCCTTATCTTTTTTCACAGATCTGAATTCATGAAGGACAGCATTTTCAAGCTCAGTATAGCTGAGCACAGCCATGCAAAGTGAGGCTACTACGTGGAAGGAAATAATCCACAAAACTGCAGTGGCTTGGATGATAAGACAGGGGCTTGTCTTCCTAGGTAAGAGAGATGTTATCCAGCAACCATTACGGGATAGGTGTTTAAAAGTCACAGCCTAGTAATGTTTTTATATCCTTCAAAGCTCCAGTTAGCACAGGTGGCTGAAGCTAAAAATATGAGTAACACAGCTAAGAGAGCTAAGAGACATGAGTCAAGCAATGAGCTCGCTCCCCTAAGTGCTGTAGGAAACGCAGCCCCAATGGTCCATCCAGCTCCATCCGGCGCTGTGTACTAGGCAGGGCCAATAGCGTGAGGAATGGTTCTCTGTGCAAAATGAGTTTTCATACTTGTAGTTTAAAAATTCTCTTCAGAAATTTGGAGCCTAACATAAACTGTAGAGATTCTGCCCTACATAGGCCCAAGATGCCCCACTGTGCCCCCAGCACATCATACTTATTTCCAGTCAGCTGAGCCTAGGGCAATGCTAGGGATTCAAGAAGAGAGGTCATGGTGGATGTGGGGTACAACAGTAGAGTGGGGTGAGAGGAGAAATGGATTAACACTGGTGCTGAAGAAAGAGACTTGCTTGTGGAAGAGAATTGCCTGCCTCTGCCACCCCCTGTGGTAAGGAATGAGGAAAGGGACAAGTCTTACATAGGGTCCCTCCTAGTGCCCAATACACCTGAGCTCAGCTGGCCTTTCCTCTGTGTGGTGTGGCTGGGCACATGCTCCCGAGTAATCTACAGCACACCTTCTAGTGCTTCTGTCTTGGCCTCTGGTCCCTCATTCCCAGGGGCACAGCACTCCTTGCTGCTTGCTGACAACTAGTTCTAGGGCAGAGCAAAGACCTGGGATCTAGGGTGGGCTTCGGGGTCCCCATCGCCTCTGGGTACTACCTTTCTCTTAGCACTGGCTCATCCCTCCCCCTGCTGGTTGAAGAAGGAACAGAGTGAAATCTCCTAAAAGGCAGGTCGACAGAACAGTGTCACTTCACTTTCCATTCTTCTCCAAGGGGGCGGGTTTTTCCTTTTTTGTTTGAAAGAGTCTCACCATGTAGTCCAGATTGGCCTCAAACTCACAATCCTCCTGCCTCATCCTCCTGAGTGCTGGGATGATAGGCATGAGCCCCCATGCCTGACTCTAACTATAGACTGATTGTTAAAATACTAGCCAAGAAGCAGGAATGCGAAGCTCCCAGGGGCTGGGTGCTATCTGCTGGCTTGTCATTGTCTTTCCTGATCTTATTCCCTTCTCTGATGATGGCACATGGATGGGTGGGTGGGAGGAGAGGCAGGTCAGTCTAAGTGTCCTGCTAGCCTCCCCTTCTCTAGAAGCCTCATGGACTTTCAGAAGCCAATGCCTAAGCGATGCTACAATTACGAACACTGAGTTATCTGGCAATAAGAAATGCAATGCATAGAGATGTGGAGCTCTCTCTCACACAAAAGCAGTCACCTCACTGCAAAGGGCCCACAACATGGCAACAGGCACCCATACTATTAGCTTACAAATGACAGCACATGAGGGAACCGAACAGTGAGCATTTGTGAAGGAAAAATCCATGTTGGCTATTTCACCTCAAGAGGAGTCTGTTTGCACTTGAGCCCGCCTGTTGTTTCCTCTGCCTTCTACTTGATGTTTTTCAGGAGGGCTGTCCGGGCATTCACAACTGCTTTGAAGGCATCTTCACTGCCAGGCGCTACACATTTGTCTGGGTGAAGCAGTACAGCCAGCTTCCGGTAGGCCTTATTGACTTCCTCCCTGTGAAAAGCAGCCAAGCTGTCAGTAACTTGGGTTGGTCCCAAATCATGCATCCCAGCTCTCTAGATATCCAACATGTCTCCCGTGCAATTACTTCCTTTTCTCAAAGGTAGGACTAAAAGATTAGAAAATAATGAACAAACAATAGGTCCTATACAGTAGAAAAATACAGTGTAAGTGAGTCTAGAGACAGTCCAAGAAGGGTCAGCTGCTGCCAGGCAGCTTTAGACACTCAGGGGCACAGAGCAAGCCTTCACTAACTGAGGGATGAGAGTCTGGGCACCAGGGAAAATCCCTTGAGAGAAGCTTCTGGAAGAAGAGGGGCTTGTGATTAGCACGGGTTGGGGGACTCAGAGTGCTAGGGAGGAACTGGCAGAGAGGCCTCCAAAGCAAAACAAGGAAAAACACTGCATTTGATTGTCAGTAACAATAGCAGGCATTTTGTGGCAGTGGGCACTGAGAAAGCTGTTTCTAACATTGAGAGACAGGCAGGAGATTACCACAGCAGCCCAGGCCTGAGAGCCACGGTTCAGGGGGAGGTGTCAGTGAGAACAGTTAAGAAAGCTTATACAACATGAAGCAAAAGCCACTGGGGCCGCTGATGTGCCCAATAGCCACAGAAGATAAAGAAGGAGATGCTGAGAGGCCCCCACAGTCCTGAGCAGCAGGGACTGGCTGGAGAAGGCCCAGATTGCAGATTTCTTCCCCATGCCTACTCCCAGTCATCCTCGGTGTCAGCCTCTGTCTCCACCTCTGTCTCCACCACATGGTCTTACTTCCCAAGCTTCCTTCTGTCACCAGAGTCCCTGCAACCCTGTCAGCATGGCATGGTGCTGTATCAGGTGCCTTCACTCTTCTGTCTTTGTTGGAAGGACTTCTCATAGCACCCCCCGCCCCCAATTAAAGAGACGCCCTTTGCTGGCCTGGAGATGGTAGAAAGTCAGGTGTCAATCTGGAGAGGCTAAGTCCCTGTGTCTTAGGTATACAGGCTGGTTTTTCCTGCCACTGGGTGAGTCCTTTGCATATTCTACATATACAATGTGTAGTCTTTTCTATGCAGTGTGTTTGGGTGCTGTGTGCCTGTGTCTGTGCATGCGTGAGCATTGAGAGGCCAGAGGTCAATGCCAGCTGTCTTCTATCATTCCCCACCTTAATTTTTAAGTCAGGTCTGTTAAGCCTCAACATGGCTGCTTTGGCTAGACTGGGTGACCAGTGAGCTCCAGGGAGTCACTTGTCTGTGCCTTCCCCAAACTAGGATACACATATGCTGCCATGCCTGGCTTGTGTGTGGGTGCTGGGATTCAAACTGAGGTCCTCATGCCTGTGTAGCAAACACGTCATCCAGTGAGCCGTCTTCCCCAGCCCCTACATATGCCATCTTTGTATTAGTTATCAAAAGGTACTCCCCTTCTTGGAAGAACTTTGAATGGCCAGATTTGTATTTATCTAGGCCCTGTGTCCTTGAGGTGAGTACAGGGTCCCCTCCTTCTTCAAGATGGAGTGTGGGGCAGGGCCAGTGGAGCCAATGCTCTAGGGGGGTATGTCTAGGCGAACTCAGTGTTACACCTGGCCCCTGCACTGCACTGAGTACCTTTCAAGATATACAGGCACAGAAAGACTCTCAAGGGAAAGTTCTAGAGGAACAAGACTGGTGCAGGTGTGTGTCAACAATCTTACACACTGTAGGATTTCAGCCCCAAACAAGTACCAGAATTCTCTAGATGTAATATTCTAATGTTCAAGGATTTGTCCCATATGTGCCAACATCATTTGACAGACACAGCTGTGTAGATAAACGTGTGTTTATATGGGTTAAGGAAACAGAAATGACAGAGGCCTGGGATTTACCAGAGCTCTGGTAGATTATAGTTAACCAAAGTGAATAAAGAGCTGGACTTTTCTTCTTCTACAATCGCCATGCCCAGCTCTTCCTGAATATATCTGTAGAATAAAACAGGTAACTACACAAAACCCAATCACAGATGAGAATGAGTGGGGTTTATGAGAAAGACAGTTGGGCAGAGAGACACCTCTGTCTCCTGGGTCCTTAATGATCACTCATATTCTACTGAATACCAGTTTCCCCAGTAAAATGGGAGCAATCTTTCTTCTTCTAAAATTTTACGATTTAAGAATTATTTTTGTAAAGTTTCCTAAGGTTGTGTCAGATTCTTGCTCAACACAAAGGTGGGGCAAGCCATTTCATCAAGTGTTTACGCAGAAACATGACATAGCTTGCTTGGCAGGCAATGTGCCTTCTGTTTCATTTCTCTGGTTTGAGTTAGTGGGGCAGAGTCCTTAGCAAACTTATTGCCACACACTTCAAGTTTCTAGCTAATTAGAAGGAAAGACTGGGTAGCACTTTTGGCAACAGAGTCTCGGGCTCTTCCGGAACTGTGCACTAAACTTACCTTGAGGCCCCAGGTCTGACTCCCAGCATGTCCCAACTGTCCTTACTATTTCGAATTCTGCGAATGGTGTCTGCTTGTTCTTTGGTGAAACTAGCACTGTTATTTGCAGTAGGACGCTTCCCGCCATTTTCACACAAGTCAACTATGGACACATAAAAGGTCTGTAGGAAGGAAGAAAACACAACCCAGAGAAGTGATTCTGTGAGATAGGAGTTCCTTTCACACACTTCAGTAACTTTAAGAGCCCGGGGCCTTAGTGTTCCACCCAACCTCCTAACTACGTATTTTTAAAACAGAAAAGTATAAACTAACTTAAAATGTATTAGTTTAATTTTAAAAATTAAAATGATTCATGATTCTACTCTCAGAGAAGCACATTTGAGGTTGGTAAGAGATGAACTGTTAGAAAAATTCCAACAGTAAAATCTAAAACCTTTCTCCCTGATATAGCCATCATTAGCATATTTCAGGATCCCTACAGAAACATCTGCTACCAGCACACGTCACACACAAATACACAAGCAATTGCATGAAAGATCTCAGATGCCACCCAATGCTTAGCAGCTTCAGTGTCCCACATAATACATCTTGTGCAGGCCTGGTGATGCACTCCTGTCATCCCAGCTACTTGGGAGGCTAAGGCAGGAGAAGCAGGAGTTCAAGGTCTGCCCGACCTACAGAGTGAGTTCAAGACCAGCCTCAGTAACTTAATGAGACCCAGTCTCAAACAAAAAGTAAAAAGAAGCCTTGGGACCAGCTCAGTGGAACAGTGATTGCTTAACATGAGCATGGACCTGGATTCAATCCCTAGGTCTGCCTTGGAGTTGTTCTGTATTTACAGAGCTCTTTGCTCTCCAGTGCCTTCAGGATCCTATTATGTGGCTATACCACATAATAGGTATAGCCTATAATTAAATAAAGGTGAGCCCTTTATTTAATTCCCTATTTCTGGACTTGCCAGTTATTTTAAGTCTTTTGGTCACTGCAGACAATACTGAATCATTTTGTTTTCTATTTGTTTTTCTGAAACAGGGTCTCACATAGCCTAGGCGGGCCCTGAACTAGCTATGTAGCAGAGGGTGATACTGAACTCATGATCCTATCTCTGCCTCTTAGTGCTACAATGACAGGCCTGCCATTACCATGTGCAGCTTGGTAGTGTGTATTCCTGGGTAAACTCAATCTGAATCTTTTTCAAGAACAAGTGCTCTTAACCTCTGAGCCATCTCTCCAGCCCTCATTTCTGTAATTATAAGTAGAGTAAGTCTCCTCTCTCCTCTCCTCCCCTTCTCTTTCCTCTCCTGCCTTCCTTCTCCTCTTCTTCCTCTCTCCTCTCCTCTCTGCTCCCTCCCTCCTCTCCCCTCCCCCTTCTCTCTCCTCTCCTTTCTCCCCTCCTCTCCTGCTAGGTAAGTATTGTGCAGTCCCAGCGCCTATAACTACTTTTAATTGATGTATCTCCTCTTCCCTTAGTTTCTCTTAAAATATCTTCCTCTCTTTCAGTTTCTCCAACAGCACTGTTTACCTCCTATTGTAAATGTGTCTTTGGGGCTGGAGAACTGGCTCAGTAGTTAGAGTATGCACTGCTCTTCTAAAGGACTGAAGTGTGGCTCCCAGGACCATGATAGATGACTCACAACTGCCTTCAACTGATGCCTCTGGCTCCTCACATCACATGCAAACACACACACAATTAAAAATAAAATGAATCTTTAAAAATGTATCTTTCCCTTAAGTTTCTCTTTCTCATTTCCAGTAACTGCAAACCTACTGGGAACCTAACAAGAAGCCTTGACATCTGGAAAGAAAGAGCATCATGGGAAAAGCCACTAGACCAGGACCAAAGGGTGCTGGTTTACTGTGGTGATCTTAGTATCGCCCTTTGCTAGCAACATCAGATCAGACAAAACCACCTTCCTCCTGGCACAAAGTCTCTATTAAGCAAGCAGAAAATCAAGAAAATGTTTATCAACTGAGTCACCAGGAAAGCACAGCTTAGGGCTTACCTACAGAACAGCGATACTGTGTCTAGTCAGCCAAACAAGAAAACAGACTCATTTACCTACCATTTCTACCAAGATAAAAGCATCAAGAAGGGTTCACAGTTCACAAATGTCACTAGGGTTAGGGTTGACATTTTCTGGTATCCTGGAATTAACGTGAAATAGAAATAGATACATTCTGTAGGCACATGTAGTTATGAGAACACATGGTGATAGAAGACCAGCTGTGATCTTCACAGGAGGAGTAAGGTCAAAACGGTAAATCTCAGGTCTTACTTCCATCCAATACAGAATGCTAGACCAGACCCCAGTCAACCATCAAACAGAACAAATGCACAAGGCAGCTACTTTCAGCAGTGAACAAAAGCAAGCATGAACTACAAAGAGGTAAACCACTCTCATCCTAGAGGCCATATCTGGATCAGGCAGACACAAAGTCCCACTGAGAGAAGGAGGCAGAGGCAGAGGCAGAGACCAGAGTCTGAGGCTACAGCAGTGGCAAGAATCAGCAGAGCTGGGCCCACAATAGGCGGGGCTTCCTTGTGGGTTTGTAGCTAAGAAGTAGGTTATCATATGAAGACTGAAGCCACCTGAGGCTTGCCAGACAAGAGCTGAGAATACAATCCATATTTTCTAGGGGAAGAACCAGCCCAAGACACCCGAGATTGGCCTTCCCAGAACACCTCATTGGTGCTCCTGAAACCCCCCTGGAGCACACAGAAAGGCTGCACCTCAGGTCTCACCCATCCTAACCACACCAAAAGTTAAGAACCAACACAAGTGGTTAGAGCAGAATGTGGAAGCTGAATCCTGCCAAATTAGAAGGTTTAGGGACCATTTCAGACTTCCTTCAGATCTGTGATTTGTTAAAGCAAAAAATGCAAGTTTACGTGAGTTCATTGCACTCTGCCTCCTGCAACAAGAAGCCATATTCTTCTGGAAAAGACAGACAAATCTGCAGGGTCTCTACAGTGTACTCTCCACAGATGTGTTACCCAATCAAAACATTACTACCACACAAAGGGACCAGAAAACATGATCAATGTTAGCGGAAAGCAGTCGGTAGTAACTGAACCCACGCTGGTTCTAATACTGGAATCGGTAAGCTTCAAAACAGCTAGCTATAAGAAAGACTGGAAGGAAATAAAGGAAAATATACTTAAACAATTAAAGGAAAATACATCTTTAAAAAGTATCTTATTTGGGCACCGGAGAGATGGCTCAGCAGCTAAAGGCACTCTTTGCTCTTGAGAGGCCCTGAGTTCAGTTCCAGCACCCACATGGGAGCTCACATTGCTTCTAACTCCAGCTCCAGAGGATCCACCACTCTCTTCTGGCCTCTGTGGTACCAGGCAAACACCCATACATATAAAATAAACAAATAAATAAATAAACCTTTTAAAAAAAATGGTCTGGGGACAGCCAGGCAGTGGTAGCACACACTTTTAGTTCCAACACTTGGGAGGCAGAGGCAGGAGGATCTCTGTGAGTTTGAGGCCAGCCTGGTCTACAGTGTAGGTTCCAGGACAGCTAGGGCTACACAGAAAAACCCTATCTCAAAAAAGATGGGGGGAAGGAGTGACATGTGGGGCTAAAGAGCCAGGAACAGTGGCTGGGGAAGAAGTAGACAAATGGATCTCAGTGACTGTCTGGCTACCAGTCTAGATAGATGGTGAGCTCCAGGTTGATTGAGACACCCTGGCTCAAAAGATGAAGAGCAACAGAGAAAGACACTGGACATGTACCTCTGCACACCTGAGAGTACACCATACACATGTGCATGCATACACACAATAGTAACAAGAAATCTACTCAGGCTGCCATGTGAGCACATTCTTCTATACTGCCTTTCGGGTTTTTATGGGTGACCAGCTGGATTATGTAATGATGGTCTCCTATTCTCTAAGCTATCTGTAACCTCAGTGAGCTGCTCTGGGAGTACAGGCTTAGATAACTGCATGTGGTAAGGCAATTCTGCCATAACTAGGCTTCATATGAATGTAACACCATTATCTAAAGATAGTTTTGAAGAAAAATCTCCATCCCAGTGAAATAGCACAGTAACTTGCTAAACCTGATGACCACCACAACCACCTGGAGTGTTTTACCAAGACGCAAATTCCTAGGCTCTAGCCAGGGGTGGTGGTACATGCCTTTGAGCCCAGCACTCAGGAGACAGAAGCAGTCAAACCTCTGGGAGTTCAAGGCCAGTCTGGTCTACATAGTGAGTTCTAGGACAGTCAGGACTACATAGTGAGACCATGTCTCGTGTTGAAGAACTTCCCCAGGTGTGAGTTCATTTTGACAGTCTACTTGATGGGATTAGAATCACTGTGGAATGTCTGTGAGGACTTTTCTAGACTGGGTTAGGAAGACTCACCCTAAATATGACAGCACCATCCCATGGGATGAATCCCTGACTGAATAAACAGGGAGCTGAGCACCAGTTTCACCTTTCTCTGTTTCCTGATCGTGGGTGCAACTGGACCAGATGCTGCAACCTACTGTCACCTTAGCCTCCCTGGACAATGGCCTGTGCTCTTCAACTGTGACCTAAAATAAACCCATTGTCTTCCTCAACTTGCTTTTGACAAGTATTTTATGGCAGCAATGAGAACAGTAACTAAGACACCTGGTGATATGTAACTGAGACACTGTGGTGATGAGCAGGTCTTACCTACAACAGAGCAAACAGATCAATCATCTCTCTCCCCCCACAGTCCTCTCCCTTTTTGAGAAAGTCCCTTTACTGTTCTGCTTCTCAGAATCTTAACTATGAGCTGCCTTTGGTACAAAGCCTAGAACAGATGTTTGGTTACCTGGAACATCTCATTGATTCCCTCTCCAGTTTGTGCTGATGTTTCAAAGTACAGGAACCCCCTGCTTTCAGCCCAAAGACGCCCCTCACTTTCATCAATACAGCGGTGTTTGGTGCAGTCAATCTGAAACAGAAAGTAGGGAGGGGATAGAAAGAAGATCCACCCTTGTCCCAATACATCAGGCCCAATGAAGCCTTCATCACTGAGCCTCAAGCTATGTATAAAAGTACCAGGTTAAACGGGACCAAACAGCAGAAATCCATTGACTGGGTTTTCTGTCTAATTTAGGTGGCATCTGCCACTTCCTCCCATGGGAAAGAAGCTGCTATATACATCTGTGAAAGTTACATCATGACCTATCCTACCCAAGGGGCTATCTGCTGTTGCCATGAACAACCCCTCCCACCAGGTCAAGCTATGAATATTAGGCTTTTCCCAGACTGTTTCCTCAAGCTGGACACCAAGGGGAAAAAAAATGAATAAAAATCCAGTTAGACCAGGTTTTCTGGTTTTTGTCTCAGACATGTTTTCAATGGCTACCAATTACTGATTTCTATGTTACAGAATAGCACTTCCTCTGGGTGTGCATGTGTGCATCTATGCTTGAAGACTCACCAAGCCACCCAGGCTGGCCTGCACTCTCCACATAGCTCACTTGGCCTCCAGCTCATAATTCTCCTGCTTTCAGTCCCCGAGTCCTGGGATTCCAGGCTAAGCCACACATCCAGCTCTTTCCTTCTGTGTCCTCAGACTCACAGCTGGACTAGTAACCCAATCCAAAGCAGTTACCTTGTTGGCACATACAACAAAGACGATATTGTCCATGTTCCCGTGAGGCCCAAGCTCCTGCTTCATTTCTGCCAGCCATAAATCAAGGGCATCAAACGAGTCCTTCTGTCCCACGTCATAGACCAGTATCACGCCTTGTGTGTCCTTGTAAAATTCATTTCGGACCTGCAGATGCAAGAGAGGCACAAGGTGTTGGCTCTGTGATTTTTATAAGAATGCACCTCACAGCCATTAATAAAATATGTCCTTTCTTATTCAGAGTACTCATTGTTATCCCAGGGTTTAGTGGCTTTTAGAGGGCTTCATATAAAATCAAAATGAAACAAACAAACCTATAGGTTGGGACAATTTTTTAGCAGAAAACAGATCACAGCTCCTCAGAGGCAGTGCACTCTAGCTGCTGGAAGATAGCTGTGTCAAGATCTTTTTAGGAAGGTAGGCGAACAGCCAAAAGGAACTTAAAGCAAGATGACACAATTATGAGCAATGGCTGCCAACCACACAAACACCACATCCCAGTTTACCCAGCATTCCAGGCAGAGCTTTCCAGACTGCTCCAAGGCTATACATCAATTTCAACCCCCAAACTCAGAGCCCAGTGTAATCGGACAGTAAGGAGCACGGCTGAGGAGCAGGCAGCTCTGGGTCACACCCACTAGAAGTTGTGTGACCTTGGGCAAATCACATAACCCCTCTGTACTTCCTCATCTGGAAAAGGGGATCACAGTACTAGGACGAGGTGAGGTCACGAAAGCAGCACACTTAGCATGGTGCCTGAAAAAATGATACACACAAGTTCCTTCTCCCTTCCTTCCACGCATTCTGACTGTCCTGAGATAACATGAGAAACGACAAGCTGCCTCTGGGGCAGCTCCAAAAGACTTGACAAGAAGTGCAGGTGCACTCAAGGGGCAGAGGCAGTGAGAAGGAACCTTGACAGAGAACACAGTACAGGGTCTTAGCCCAAGGGGGGCAGAGCTGGGTCGAGGAAGGGTTAGTGCACTGCTTGCCTGTTTCCCAGCCTCCCAGGATCCTGGAGACAATCAGAGACATCAAGGAGTCTAGTCAAGCAGGAACTCATTTATTGTCTCACAGCAAGTATCTTTTAAAGGAAAAACCGCAGAGCGGGAAAAACAGCCAGGCAATGGTTTTAAAGGTCAGCCTATCATGTACCTAGGTGCCCTACGCTTTACCTGGTGAACATGAACTGTTCATGCAGTGACTTCATCTGGTTTGATCTAGGCAACCAATCATCTTTTTTTTGTAAACAACTCAGGACTCACTCATCTGACTTCCCTTCAGCACCATCTTTGACTGGCTCGTGTGCCCTAGACATAGCTTTATGTTTTTTTAACAAGAACTCCAAATGCACTGAGACGCACACTAGCTAAGCATTCAGAAGTGAGGAAGCAGGGGGGTGGTAGAAATGCCTGTTACAGCAGCACTCAGGAGGCTGAGACAGTGATTGTGAGTTTAAGGCCAGCTTAGGCTACATAGTGAATTTGAAGCTAGTCTGAGCTATTAATAAAACCCAAAGGGGAGGGGGACATTTATCTTTCACACTGGGCATGGGCTTCTGAGCACCTTGACCAAGAACTTAAGGTTCTATCATTAATTTAGAGAAACCTAAAGTCCACTACAGTAAGAAACAACAAAAGCAGAGGGAGTCTGAAGAGATCGATCCACAGTCCGTAAGGCTAAGATTTCTTTATTCAGATAAACACCAGCCAAGTGCAAGCCAGCGTGTGCCAGGGGCAGCAAGGCAGCCAGGCCAGAGAGAGGAGAAGGGAGAGAAGACACGAGGATGACTGCAGTGGTTTGAGTAAGAATGATGCCTGTACATCCATATATCTGAACACTTCACCATCAGGGAGTGACACTACTTGGGAGGGGTTAGAAGGTGTGGCCTTGTTGAAGTTGCTATGGTCTTGTTGGAGTACTTGCTGTTCTTGCAGAGGACACAGGTTTGATTCCCATCACCTACATATAGTTTAAAACATTCATAACTCCAACTCTAGGGAATTAAACAGCCTCTTCTGACCTCTGAGAGCACCAGGCAAGCACACGGTGCACAGACATACAAGTGGCATAGAATATCCATATATATGTTATAGATACAATATTATAGATATAATGAAATAAACAATAATTATCTTCTACCAACTCCTTATCTCTGCCTTTGTGTACTACTAACCCTCCTCAAATCCTGTCCTGGGCCCTCTTCCTTTCTGAATCGCTTTCTCTACAATTGGGTACCACCAACCACCTGCATGGGATCAACTGCTCCCTCCCGTCAGCTTCCTTCCTCTAGCTTAGCAGAATGTCATGCTCAACTCTCACATGGGGACGTCAGTGATGAGGCTGAAGGCCCAGTGTCCACCTCTCTGCCCTGTCTCTCTGCAGCAGATTCACGGTCCCGTGGACCATGTCTGCAGGCTTCTCCACCTGTCACTCCCTTCCATGCACAGTCCAATACAACCTTCACTACACTGCCTGCAGGCTTCCAAGCTGGCTTCCCAGCACCATGAACACTGTGTAACTTACCTTTTTATTTTTTCGTTTTGCATTTTTTGTTTGTTTTTCGAGACTTTCAAGCTCTGTGGCTTTGGAGGCTGTTCTGGAACTAGCTCTTGTAGACCAGGCTGGCCTCAAACTCACAGAGATCCATCTGCCTTTGCCTCCCTGAGTGCTGGGATTAAAGGCATGCGCCACCACCACCCAGGGTAACTTATCTTTTTAAAGTCGTGGCTCAAAATTCCCCAGTTGTTTCCCCACCCCCATGCCCTCCAATGTTCAGCCTGGTTTAAATGGGATTACAGGATTGGGTTTGTTTTGTTTTCCTTTTTTCATGTGTGGTGGGGGATTCAAGAAAGGGTTTCTCTACATAACCCTGGTTGTCCTGGTATCCACTGGTGTAGACCTGACTGGCCTTAAACTCACAGAGATCTGCCTGCCTCTGCCTCCCCAGTGCTGGGAATTAAAGGCACCAGTGGCACCCAGCTGAACTTGTTTTTCTTAATCTATACAATCCATCTTTACAGAAGATGTCACATGTACTGTACAAAGAGTTCTGATGTAGTTATGTCCGATCTTTATTTAGCTTACTTTGTGCTCTATTGTGCACACAGGATTGAGTTAATTATCATCAGGGAGGTTTTCACCAAATTGTACTGTGCTTAAACATGCCTACATAAACTACTCAGGGCCCTAAAATTTGAATTTATTTATTTATTTAATTTTAAACATGACGCCCGGAGGCAAGCCTCAGCAGCTAAGCTATTCTTTTCTTTTTAATTAAAGATATTTATTTATTATGTATACAGTGTTCTGCCTGCATGTGTGCCTACAGAACAGAAGAGGGCACCAGATCTTGACAGATGGTTGTGAGCCACCATGTGGTTGCTGGGAATTGAACTCAGGACCTCTGGAAGAGCAGGCAGTGCTCTTAACCTCTGAGCCATCTCTCCAGCTCTTACTTATTTATTTTATGAATATGAGTATTTTATCTGGATATATACCTGAACACCAGAAAAAGGGATCTGATCTCACTACAGATTGTTGTGAGCCACCAGAACTGAACTCAGGACCTCTAGAAGAACAGCCATGCTCTTCACCCCTAAGCCATCTCTCCAGACCTACTGAGTCATATTAAACTGAACTGCCTTCTTGCCTCCTGTGAATTGTTACTCTGCTGGCTGTGGTGGTCACGTCACAGAGACCCCTGCAGCCAGTGAGGTGGCTCAGTGGGTAAAGCACCTCCTGCCAAGCTTGATGGCATTAGTCCAATTCCCAAAAGCTACATGGTGGAAAGAGAGGGCCAACTCCCTAAAGCTGATCTACCTACACACAGGCAGAGGCAGGCAGGCAGACACACATACACATTGTGGCATTCATGTCTCCACACATATACACATAAATAAATGTAATTTTTAAAATCAAAATCAGTGGAACACCACAAATCAGCAGGTTGGATTGGGTGTGAGTGTACATACATGTGCCTGTGGGGTGGGGGTGTGCATGAATTAACAGGAACTCACGGACCTACTGGACTAAAAAGATCAATAAGAAGAAAAACAGCTGAGAAAGCCCTCAAATGAAGAACGGGAAGCATAAAGCCAAAGCAAGAAGAAAGAAGGAAATAGCAAAGACAAGGACCAAGGCAGCAAACAGGTCACCAACAGGGAGTGCATGACTCATCCAGGGACTGCTACACAGATGAACATGAACCAACCAGGGCTGCTCTGCCTTATTCCAGGGAATCAGCAATGCTGGGGAGTGACAGGAAGGTCACACTAGTGACCTTGCTGAGCTGTTGCATCTATAGGGGACTGTGACTGTTATTTACTCACACTCTGGGCTGAAGTCTGAAGTGAAAGGCCAGCATCCTAAGGTGGAAATGTTGATTCATTCAAATGTTTGAAACATCAGCCATGCAACGTCCCATCTCGATTTCAGTAGAGCATAAGCAATCAAGGAGTATCCACTAAATTGAGGCTCAGAGGGCAAGCTACTAACATGAGCTAAATTTTACTCATGATTTGAATTAACTCCCCAGAAGGCTTTCTTACCTCATAAAAGAAGGGATGTCCAGCCATGTCAAAGATGTTAACTTTGACTTCTCTGTCTCTGACTTGAACCCTGAAATATTCAAATGGAAACAATCTCAAAGGTTGTGTTTCTGCATTGACATTTCTGTTACTTATGGATTTCAAAAGGAAACAGGGTCACATTTCCAGGGATTTTTTTCACTCTCTTCTTAACTCCAGATAATTACAACAGAAGCCAGCAAGCTGGCCAACAAACCTGCTGGCTTACTTTACAACACTGAGTCCTGACTAAGGATCCATCTTCTAAGATACTTGAATCTACAACCCTGAACCAGCAAGCTGTCCCCCATCTAAACGGATTTTTTTAAAAAAATCTGTAATCCCAACTGAGCCTGTTGACTGTTTATGTCCCCTCTTGGAAGGTGGTCATTGTTATTCTTTTACGCTGCAGCTTCGGGTGTACAGAAAGGAAACTACAGATGAACAACCCACGTGGAGTTTATTTACAAGAAGGGGTGGGGGGATGGGGTTGGATTGTCAGCCAACCCAAGAGGAGCCAGAGAAGGAGAAGGTGGGGGAAGGCTGGACCTTTTAAAGGGAAGGCTGTGCATGCACACTGAGGTTTCACGCATGTACAGAGTCCTCACGCAGGCCGTAATGTGTGGCGGGTGATGTGGTGATGACATAGCGCGTTTTCCTGTGTGTGCCCCACCTATCATTAGGGGACGGGTGGGGGGACTGAGGGGGTCATCCAGGCATATGTTATACAGTCAAAAGACCCTCATCGGAGTATGCAGCTTCTCCCTACCACCTGTTGTATGTAACTGCCTTAATTGCACATGGTCTTGGGGAAGGGCTAGAGTATACAGGCTGGGAAACACAGGGGGCAGGGGTGCCATCCATGCAGCTATGGGGAAGCCCTCATCCAAGCTGGTAAAGATTTTCTGGTACAACCTTTAGGAGAGGAGTACCCATACCACAGGTAACCCCCCACCTATGCTCTGTAAGCCAAATAAATGCTTGGTTCCCTAGGTAGAATCCTGCCTTGGTTTGTCATTGAGACCTTGGGAGGAGGGGTAAACATTGTTTATGTCTTCCTGGGAAGGAATTTTTGCAATAGTCTTCATGGAATAATCATATTTTTTTTAAAAAAATCTGTAACAAACAGAATAGTCTATTGAGTAATCCAATTCATCCTGTCTCAATAAATAAATAAATAAGTCTCAATTGTATGTCATCATATAGCACTGTCCATTTCTTAGATAAATCAGGCACTGATATGGCTTCTGAACAAAGGTTCCTTAAGTACGATGTCCCACCATATCCCCGATGAACTCCTGTGCTCTGAAGAAGAGCATCGGAAAGGAAGAGTAGAAAGAAATGTGGATTTTAAATGCAGAGCTTCATGATTTTCACAGCCAAGATAACAAATTTCACACTTTAAAGAAAATGTGCAAAAACACCTTCTGCTGCTCTCAGTTGGAAAATGGCAATAGAATTTACACAGAACTCTTAGGTTCTACTTTGCCACTGACCTGAACTACTTTAATACAGTCCAAAAGGACATACATAAACTTGACCCTGCCCTTCATACAACTGACATTCTGCTATAGATATACCTTATCAATTTTATCAACCTTCTTGAATATATTGTGATAGGGAAAAAATTCATCTTTAAGTATATCTAACAATATTTATCAAGCAGTCACCAGGGAGAAGCACCGTACCAGGTACTTGAAGAAAATATAAGAATCCCTTTTTAGAGAGACACCTGATGCCAGGGATCTGCTCAGCAGATCTGAACTCTGCAGCAGGATCTGGCACACCCGGATACTCCCGAGGCCCTGGTGGTAGTTCTGCCTCCATCCACTGGCCCAGGTAGTCCGGGGACTGTTTCCAGTTCTGGTTCGGCAGCCTGGCCAGGGATCTGCTCACCATATCTGAACTCCGAAGCAGGACCCAACACACCCAGACTCTGCCGAGGCCCCAGTAACAGTTCCACCTCCTTCCACCAGCCCAGGTAGGCCAGGGGCTATTTCTGGTTCCAGTTTGGTGGTCCAGACATCTGACACCAAGGGTCTGCTCATCAGATCCGAACTGGGCAGTGGGATCCAACACACCTGGACACTGCCGAGGCCCCAGTCACCTCCATCCACGAGAGGAGGACAGACATCAGGTTATTGGATCTGTTTGCATCTACCAGAAGGGAACCTTGGTCCCATGCCCACCAGGAGAGGAAGAGACTCCTGCTACACCCACCAGAAGAAAAGATGAGAAGAGGACAAGGTAAAAGCACATCCAACAACAGAAAACCCAATATGACACCACCAGAGACTAGGAACCATACACCAGCATCACAATGCAGATGAAGCACAAGAGAATGACCTTAAAAACATCTTCACGAAAATGATAGAGGACCTCAAAGAGGACATGAGAAAATCCCTTAAAGAAATGGAAGAAAAACAAACCAAAAATTACAAGATAACAACAAACCTCAAGACCTAAAAACTGAAATAGAGACAATAAAGAAAGCACAATCTGAGGGAATGCTGGAAATAGAAAAGCTGGGTTAAATGATCAGGAACTACAGACATAAGCATAACCAACAGAATACAAGAGATGGAAGAGAGAATCTCAGGAGTTGAAGACACACTAGGAGAAATAGACCCATCAATCAAAGAAAATCTTAAGTCCAACAAATCCCTAACACAAAATATCCAGGAAATATGGGATACCGTGAAAAGACCAAACATAAGAATAATAGGTATAGAAGGTGAAGAAATCCAACTCAAAGTCACAAAAAACATATTCAACAAAACCATAGAAGAAAACTTTCCCAACCTAAAGAAAGACATGCCAATGAAAATACAAGAAGCCTACAGAACACCAAATA